AGGAGAAGCTGTGAGTGCCCCATCCCTGGAAGTGTCTGAGGCCAGGCTGGATGAGGCTTGGAGCAGCGGAACAAACCCAGGAGTGGGATGGAGCCGCTCGCTCCCAGGACTCAAACAGGATGATGTCCCCTTAGAGGATGCAAAATCATGTCACATTGAATCAACGCTCTGACTTTGCTTCACATTTCACCGTCTGAACGGCCAGCGCAATGTCCTCTGGAGACAAATGAATAAGCCTTCATCGTTTACCAGGCCATTGTTCACTTCTGAACAAACCCAGGAGTGGGATGGAGCCGCTCGCTCCCAGGACTCAAACAGGATGATGTCCCCTTAGAGGATGCAAAATCATGTCACATTGAATCAACGCTCTGACTTTGCTTCACATTTCACCGTCTGAACGGCCAGCGCAATGTCCTCTGGAGACAAATGAATAAGCCTTCATCGTTTACCAGGCCATTGTTCACTTCTTTAAGGAACAGGAAAAATAATTCCTGACCCTCATAGTCAATCAGTTTATGCCCTGAAGCATGAGATTTGATTACCTCATGTTATTATCTCAGCATGCAGACCTAAAATATTTCATTAATGAGAATAATTTTATCTATTCATTTAAAAAACCAAAATGCTTCTTCTTGACCTTAAGCAACTTTCTGACTTTTCAAGCAGAAAACAACAATTAAGGGAAAGAAAAGTAAAAGCCTGGGGAAGCGTAGCAGCGATACCTCGTGTCGGGGGAAACGTGCTGCTCCCTGGCCGTTTATGGCGTTTCTTTGACAGTTAAATTTGATGTAGAATAGTTTTACATCTGTCATATTCTGACAGTTTTGTGCATCGTTAAGGAGTAGTAACATCATTATTAATAGGGATGAGTAAGAATATTACGATCCCATTAAAAGCAGCCGGTCTGAAATCACTCTGGGTACTGAGCCCAGCTACAGCTCCTGGTGCTGCCGAGGAGAAGCTGCCCTTGTGCCAGGCGATTGTCAGGAAGATCCATGGGTAAGTCCTGGACTTCCCTGGCTCGGGGGGTGGTGCTGGCAATGCTCTCCTGCTCTCCGTTGGCAGAAGATGCTGCCTGTGACCCTGGGGAAGCCGCGGCAGACCAAGACCAGCAGCCACAGCTCTGGCTGCTTGGCTGAGGCTCTGCAGGGGCAGTGACGATGCTCAGGGTGGGATTTCTGGGAGGAAGAGCCTCCCCCTGCCTGGGGGCACTGCTGGGGGGCGTAGTGCTGGCCTGGGGACATGGCTGCCCTGCCATGGGAGCGAGATGTCACCCGCTCTGCCTTGTAGGGCCAGGGCAGGTAGAACTGGTTGAATGGTATTTGAATAATTTATTCCCTAAAATTTGCAATAGTTTCCAAATAAATTATTCAGACAACATTTTTTTAATTACTCAGCCAGCTGTAACTGCAGGAACAGGCTTAGGAAGAGACACAACTTCAGACACCCACATCTTCCACAACTAACATGGGGAGAAATACCACTCCAAGGAATGCCCACAGCAGGAGGGAGCACAGCCTTGTCCTGGCCATGGATAAGACCCTTCCTCCAGCTCCAACAAGAGCTGTGCCCTGGAGAAGTGGACCAGGCAGCTCTGGAGCTACCAAATGCTGCAGGATCAGGGAGGGATGCAGTGCCCGGGGGTGCATCCCATTCCCCTCCCAGTGATGGGGAGGACTCCTGCAGGGAAGCCCCCCCAGTCCCACCAGTATGGCATGGTCCTGCTGAGCTCTGCCACCAGTTTAAGGGGCAGCATGCATGAGCAGATGGTTCCTGATGTTTCATCTGGGGTAAAACCAGCCCCGGACCAAGGAAAGGGGGCTGGTGCCCCAACAACAGCTCCCCACGGAAGGCAGCCCAGCCCCAGGAGGTCTGCTCCCCAACCTCGGGCACTGCGCCCAGCCCACCCTCCCCCAAAGGCTGCCTTGGCCTCATACTGGGGGCACGGGAGATGCCGCACAGCCCAACACAGAGGGGCTGCAGCCGCCCCATCGCCTGCGCGTGGCATGGTCGTGCTGAGCTCTGCCACCAGTCTAAGGGGCGGCATGCATGAGCGGATGGTTCCTGGTGTTTCACCTGGGGTAAAACAAGCCCTGCACCAAGGAAAGGGGG